CCTATCAATTCCTACCCTTCTGACCTATACCTCTACCCTATTCATTCCCCCAATTTGAGAACTTGAGCCTTCCCTCACCTGTCCCCTGAACCACGCCGTTCTGGCCTCAGGTGGATCTGAACCATTCCCTGCTGGTTCGGCTCCTTCCCCTATGCACCTTCTTTTTCGCCAGTCCGGCCGAATTTTATTCTGGAGAAGGTTCTTGGACAACCTCCTTTCTGCCTTGGCCTCTGGGACGCCTTGACCCTTGCATCGCAGGTCATTACCGTCCGCCCAAATGACCGACAACACGACTGCCCTGCTGACTTGTGCTATGCAGCCCCACCCCTTGTCTGTGGCCAGATCATCTTGCAAGGTACCCACCCATCAACACCCAACGCTCCCCGGCCGAGTCCAATCATATCAACCAGTTTGCCCAGTGAGCAGACCACCAATCCCACCACTTCTTCAATTTCGCACATTCCCACCATAGTTGATTCATGGTCTCGAAAATCCAACTGCATCTATCACAAGCCTCTCTCACTGGTATAACCTGGTGCGACTGTAGCCTCTCTCACTGGTACAACCTTATCTTCTCAGCCATCTAGCCACTGGTACAACTTGGTGCGACTCTAGCCGTAACGGGGCGGCTAGTTCTTGGGATCATGACATTGTCATCGTGACCGCAAAGCCCGCAGGTCCGTCGGGTTCCGAGCTTCCAGACGTGGTAGATGGATTCCCTTTTCTTTCCCTAATTCATTGACCACAAACCCTAGACCCTAAACCCTAATTCATTGACCACAAAGCCTTTGGCTAATTCATCATTGACCACAGCCCTTTTCCCTTATTCATTGACCCTAAACCCAATCATTATATCTTTGGCCAAATATCCTACAAAAAGACTTCCAAAAGCCAAAAGTATTAAAGGGATTGCCATCAGAGTAGGAGCATCATGACATCTTTCGATGTCTCGCTTAAAAGCATTGGTTGGAGCAAGAAAAGTGAGAAAAAGTAAACGAAGAGAATAATAAGAAGTCAAAAATACAGAAAGACCCTAATTCATTGACCACAAACCCTAAACCCTAATTCATTGACCACAGCCCCTTTCCCCAATTCATTGACTTTAAGCACGATGACGTTGAGTGAGACCTTTGGCTTGGTTTTCCAGATTCCAGGTGATGCCAGACTCCGTCTACCAACCCCAACTTGCGTGAACAATCCGAGTTTCACTTATAGGAGTGTCGTCAGCCACCGACTTCCAGCAGCCTCCTTCTGTTCGGGCCTGCACGGGTCCATCGATACACGAATCTCCTGCAACTGGCCTGTCCCATAGTTTGTCTCCTTTCCTAATCCATTTGAGTTGGCCCTTCACGTTCCTCACTAAAACAGACAATGAACATTTCTTTGGGATATTAGAGCCCCCTCTAAACTCGGCATCGCATTCTTTATCTCCCAGCTTCACCTGATTGTGGCCTACGTCTTTCAAGTTTTAACCAATCAGCCAATTCTTTTGAGCTCGTGATGTATGAGGCTGAATAGTAAATTCTTTCCTTCGTGATGGAAACAACCCCTCTTGTCTATTGATTGAAGTCTTGCAGATCTGAACCATGCGTTCTTGTGGACTTGAAGAAGTTGCTCTTTTTTTTTTTTTTTTTTTTTTTTTTACGATGAGACGATGACTTTCAGCTTTTTACTGCATGTCTGTACCTCTTTTTTGTAGTGTGGGTTCTGTCCAATCGTAGATATTATTTGCTTCTGCCCCACACCAAAACTGGTTCTCCCGATTTGTTTCCGAACTTGGTCTCACGACCATCTACGTAGATTGCGATGGCTGACCAATAAAGACAAACACGCCGGCATTGTCGTGCCATCATCAGACCAGTCTCGCCCCACAATCAGGGCCATAACTAATCTCTGTCATCAACAATCAGCTTTGTAGCCTGTGCAACCATTTCAGTCATTTGAACATCATGTCCAGCCATCTGACAAGAAAGCCAGCATCCATAAGCAGACCGGACTGCAGTATTCTTCAGCCAGCTGACGACATGACGTAGTTATGCAAAGACGAATTTGCTTTCTAAGATTAACATCAAGACTCACAAGTCATTACAGACCATCCGGGTCACTTTCATATAAGTTATCGTGATTACCCGTTCGCTTAGCCACTCATCTTGGATTTCTCTAATAGCATCATTCATAGCCAACCGGGCATGATTTGCATCAGACTTGATTTCTCCCACGCCTAAATTCATTGGGAGAACTCCATTGAGATAACAGTCCTGCAGTTTCTGTCTTATTTGTGCTTTAAAATTTGAAGTTGGGTCAATCCCAGTTCGCGCCCCATTGTCGACCATATTGGTTTTTCTTTCGGGATGATGAGAAGACAAAATAAATTGTCCTTGATAATAGTAGCCAAGCCTCTTAGAATATATAGTCCAAGCTACCAAACTCCCTCAACCCACAGCCCATTGACACCACCAACACATGCATTGACCCAATGTGACCACCATGATCAGCGTGGTGGTTGCGCGCGTCTGTGTGTGTGTGTGTGTGTGTGTGTGTGTGTGTGTGTGTGTGTGTGTGTGTGTGTGTGTGTGTGTGTGTGTTGTCGTGTTCGCTATACAAGACTGCAAAAGAAAAGCACGACCGTCCCAGATTGCTTCGTCAGACTTTCACTGACTCATCAGGAGGTTGAGCCCCGACAGTCTTCCCGGTGACTGAAGGATAAGTACTCACCACGTTGCCCAGAGTCAATGATACCCCTGAGAAAAGTGGTCGGCTCTACTCATAGCAACCCTGAAATCCTTGCAGACTGTCGACCCAAACCCCTGAAAAGAATGTCAGTAAGTCTGAGAAACTACCGTGTTCACCTGAATAGAACGCCTGGTAATTAACGCCGTATCTGGACTGAAAGTTGCACCAAATACAGCTATAATGACCGGCCGTTCTATTTGGGTGACGACGGTAGTCTGTCACAGTCATGTGTATGTGTGTGTGTGTGCACACATGTGAATGCACTCGTACGCGTACATGATGAGAGCACATGTGTGGGTGCAACTGCATGTGTATGCACATGTACACACACACTCACACACACACACACACACACACACACACACACACACACACAC